TAAGGAAGCAAGCTTGAAATACATAGTCTGGTTAAAGAGAGGAACCTTGTATGCTATCAAGTAATGTACTCAATCAACAACAGGTCTGGGGGCTGGGAAGGTATCTTGCAAAGTAATGGGTGAAAATTGGTAAGGCACACACCTACAGGCATTTCAAGGGAGGGTTAGATATGAGGGTGCTTACTGAATCAGTGGCTTAGCCCCTGGACACAGCCCAGTTGGAGCAGATGGTTGGAGGTGGGTGGAGACTGTAGAAGGAGGGGCCTGCTTTGAAAAACTAGGTCATTGGGAGTGACTTCGAGGGCAGACTTGGCCTGGCCATTCCCTTCTTTACTTTGCTTCCCGCCCTCCACCCATCGAACAGCCTCAAACAAGATGCTACCGCCACGATATTCTCACCACAGGCCCAGAAAGCAAGGAGCCAAATGGGCTTAGACTTCAGAAACCAAGAGCTGAGGCACAGCTTTCCCCACTTGAGTTGTCCCGGCAGGTCTTTCTGTCACATTAACCCCTCTTCCCCCGTGGGGTAACTCTGTCTTCCTGAAGCAAAGAGGGCGAAGGCTGTTCGATTCCTACACACTGTGATCTAAAGAGTCGACGGCCTCGGACTTTGAAAACCCCAGCACACTAGGCGTCCAGGGCTACTGGCAGTCAACAAAGCTGTGAGCACTTCAGGGGAGGGCTCTGGAAACGACAGACAGGAGGAAGCTGCTTTGGGTTGTGACTATGTGCACAATGTCAAACCCACCAGGACTAGGACTGTGAGTGAGATGTCTGCTGTATTCTTTTTTTTTTTTTTTTAAATAAACAAAGGTGTTTTTATTCTCAGCTGAACTCGTGTGTAAGAAGAAAAACCGTTTGGCATCTCACTGTTCTCTCAATTCGAGCATAAATATGCTTCAAGATAGTCCTAACATTCTGGAACATTCTCTGATCAGAAGGCCCAAAAGGTGACCTGATGGCTTGGGAAACAAAGCAAACAGGGGAAAAACATGGCATGTTTGGGTAGCAGAGACGTCTGTTTTATTTGGAAACATTCCATTAATCCGTTAGGCTTGTAAGCATCGGTTTGTCTCTAACAGAGAAGTGGTGTCACGGTAATCCAGGGGCGCGAGCTGCTACTTAGAATCCACGCTTTCCTTTCCTCGGTGGGAATTGTTATAATAAGCAGGCCTCTGCTGTGGGTGGCCACCCCATCACTGACAGGGGCTGGAAGGGGACGCCTTCCCCCAAAGGGTGCACTATATCTCTTATGGGGTCTAAAATCCACTCCGGATAGTTATTTCTTGGACCATTAAGGCCTTCTGTTCATTGATTTAAAAAAAAAAAAAATCTACCTTTAAAGTGTAAACGTCCCTGGGATCGATGGCTCATTAAGTATTTCATTATATTTTAACTTGACCATGAGCTGACAGTGTGTTGATATTGGTCTGTCTTTCTCCGTTCCAGTAATGGGATAGCCCTTCCTTTAAGATCAGCTCTATGCTCCCAGCGGCAGCTGCCAGGCAGAGGCCTCTTTATTTCCCCACTTTATTTTCCCTCTACCCTGCCACCCAGTGGTGGGTGCAGGACCTAAGCTTATGCATCCATCATCCCCCAGCCCAGGCCACATAAGGATATCCAGGGATGGGTACCCAGCTCAAGCCAGACAGCCTTCTCTCAGATGCTTTTCTAACTAGAACTGCTAGGGAAATGCTTGCTTTCTTCTTATCGGAGGTGATGAGTGCAGATAGCCACTGCTTATAGTCCGGCTTCTATCCTCTCCTGACATCTAACTGAAGATAGAGAAGGCTCCATGCAGGAAGAAGCAGAGATGGATGATAAAGAGTACCCTGAGGGTACCTGAGACTCCACTTCATTAGATAATACTGTGCTCTTTCTTGATTTGTTTCCAAGAATCACAAATGATCCTTTCTCCTTAAGCTCTTATGCCTGGGCCATCTGCCATTTGGTCTGAGAACCCCAAACAAACATTTTACAAAAATGACCCAAGAAAACTAGTAGTGTAAATCTAAAAATGTGTGTGTGTGTTCGTGTGTGTGTGTGTGTGTGTGTGTGTGTGTTTGTGTGTATGAGACAGAGAGAGAGAGAGAGAGAGAGAGAGAGAGAGAGAGAGAGAGAGAGAATTGGTCTCCTATACATAAGCCATCGTGTATTAAAAGTCCCTGGATATCTTTTTGCACAGTTTTGAAGAGATGAAAAGGCATGGCAGGGTGACCAGGTGTCTGAGAATGCCAAGTAATATTAGTCTGGGACCACAATGGACTGTTGAGTTCAGGGTAAGGCTTCACAGTAGGGACAGACTGAGTTAGAATTTGCAAATATTGACTTAAGATGGGGTAGAGAGGCAGCTCAGAGGTTAAGAGCACTTACCGGTCTTGCAGCGGACCTGAGTTTGATCAGGTTCGGTTCCCAGCACCCACATGGCAGCTCACAACAGCCTAGAACTCCAGTTCCAGGGGACCAGGCATCTGCTGGCTCCTGCAGACGTGTGGTGCATACATTCATACAGGCTCACACACATACACATAGACACAATAAATAAATCTAAAACGAGTTGGTGACAGTCCAGAGGTTCAGTGTCCTCACCAAATAAGACGAGCAACTTGTAGGACCACAATAGGCTGACAATGGCTGCTAAAATTTTTATTTATGTATTTTTAATCAGTGTATCAGATAAAAAGGGAAGCTACTTTTTTCTTCCCTTCACCTCAATATTATTTAAATTTTGACCTACCTGAACATCCAAGAGGTCCTCACTTCAGAAGCATGTAGACTAAGACTGGACACATAGAGGGAAGAGTAGCATGGCTCATGCCCAAGGATGATTGACATGCAAATTCATGAAACATTCCACACCCTTAAAAAATGCACTTTGTTTGAAAATGTCATCATGATGTCTAACGCAACTTACATGCTAGTTAAAAACAAATAAAAATAAACTATCCGAGAACCCAATTTATTACTAAAGGGCCATTTTGGCCAAAATAGAAAGAATTAGAATTAGACAGCTTGCATTAACACTTCGGCAATAGGTTTATCAAGCAGCTGAAAAGTGGGAAGTTTTTGTCAAGTGAGCTGGAGTTGGTCCTCCAGTGTTCTAGGATGACTGTTGGCTTCTTCTACGTGACCCTTGGAACTCTGGGATGATGCCTCGAGTAAAGACCGTTAAGTTGACAACATTCTCTAACGGATTTTCTGAGGATTTATGTTGGTCAAAGGGCAATTCAAAAAATTCTTTCTATGCTGTTTTGATGAAAAAGAAAATAGTTGCCTTTCCACATGTGCTCCGAGGTGACATTGTGACTGACTTATCAGTTGCATTCTGGGAAATTGATGTTCAGAATTGAAAATGAAAACCATCCGAGTATTAGTGGCCTACACTTTTAATCCCAGCATTCAGGAGGCAGAGGCAGTAGGATCACTCAGTTCAAGGCCAGCCTGGTCTACAGGGCAAGTTCTAGGACACAGAGAAATCCTGTCTCAAAAAAACCAAAAGAAAAAAAAAAAACAACCAAATTCATATTCAAAGCTTTACCCTGTAGTCAGGATGCTGGGAGTGCCCCCTTTCTGAAGCTACCGCATCAGTTTGTTTCCAAGTTGCTCCTCTTTCTCCAGCATTACTTACGAGTGAGAAAGGAAGCTGGAGTAAGAACAATGGCATGCTCCTGACTTTGCAGGGAGAGCACACAGCAAGCAATGACCTTGGCCCCTGGGGACCAGAGTTTAACCTGAGATCCTGGGTCAGAAATGAGCTGCTGGAGACCAGACAGAAAATGTCCTTGGTCTATCGGGTTGAGAGGCGCACCTTCTTTAGTAGACGATGCTACCTGCCCAAGATGGCTTGCTCCTTTCTAACCAGGGCTGAGCTAATAACCACCATCCTGAGCTTCATTTACTCTAATGGAGTCTGTCTGTACACTTGGCAGTTATTCTGAGAACAAGCGTGCGTGGAATTCTCGGTAAACCGTCTAGCACATGCTATCAAATATTAACTTGAATTATTGCTAATGAAGACAACTTGAAGGGTTTGTTTGGTTTCCCCCCTCTGGTGTGTTCATAGCTTCTTGGTAGCCGAAGTTTTTCTATTTCTTCTAAATCAGTGTAAAGCCAGGAAGGGTGGCCTACGCCTGCAACCACAGTCTCTGAAGGCTGACAGGAGACGATCAAAAGTTCAAAGCCAACTTAGGCTATGTGATGAGACTCTCCCTGTCTCAAATGTCACCACCGCAAAACCCTTTAAAAACTAATGTGGAAGGGCCTGACTGTGAACTCTTAGCACCCTCATAGAAAGCTGGACCAAGTGGTACATGTTTGCAGACCCCCCCACCAAGCTTGCTGGCCAGCCAGCGTAGCTGAAACTGTGACTCCAGGTTCAGTGAGGGACCCTGTCTCAAAAAACAAGGAAGCAAGCAATGGAGAAAAGCTCTTGATATGAACCTTTGGCCATCACATGCACCTGTCCATACACACATGCCTACACATCTATATAGCTATTAAGATTGTTCTGAATTACCCAGATTTCATTCCCAAGTACCACGCCCTGTTGCTTCCTGCTTCATTCATCCACTGGCAAGAAAGAATTTCTTCTTTCCTCGTGCCTGGCTTGGCCTACTGCCGCTCCCGGCTCCACTCTAGAGTCCTAGACCTTGAAGTGCCCTGTTCTTCTTTTCATGCTTTGCCCTTCCCTCTCTGCCACCCAGCTTAGCCAGTGACATTTCTAGATGCATTTTGACCCAGCTCTCCACATACAGAGACATCCCCTCTGCAAATGCTGGTTCGTTATCTCCCTGTCAAAAAGTCGAAGCAAATCCAGCCTGGAGTTCAGAGATCCTGTGCTGCCTCAACTTGCACGCTGTCTAACAGAGCCTGGCCAGGCCAGCATCTAGGCCAGAACGCTGCCAGGCACAGGACCTGGCATTTTGTTTCGCTGTCAATCAATCTATACGCATCACCCAGGACGAGGGTCCAATGTGCACCTGTCACGTGGTAATACTGACCTCTAGGGAAAGGCCTTCCTTCACAGAGTGTCTTTATCTTCTCATTGAGTTCCAGGACAGTAATGGCAGCTTCTTGCTTAGCTATTGCCAAATCAGTTTGTAGCTTTTTCACTGTCTTTTTGTGCTTTAGTTTCTTAAAAAAAATAAGAATTTCCTGTCACTGGAGACAGCAGATGCATCAAAGGGATAAAAGGAATTAATCGTGTCTGGGCAAGAATGGCTTAAACACTCCATTCATCTAAGCCCACTCTCTCCATCATCAACTCTTTTAACTTTCTTGAAGCGGGGAGGGGGCTCGTCTGGATCTAAACCTTGTGGTTTGGATACTTCGAATAGAGGCAATTAGAGAAACTCTATTTGTCATTTAGCATTTACTACCAGGGTGCTAATGCTTCCAAGTATCAGGTTTCCACCCCAACCTGTAAGCAGACTCAGGAGAGACAACCAGAGCCTTGATTAGGAGTCCTGTCTCCCCTGACATTTGAATTTTATCTGCATTCAAATAAACTCTGGAATGCATGTTGCTACCAGGAAGTACAGAAATGTAGACATTTGCAGACACTTGTTGCTGAGGCTGTAAAGGGAACATGGTCAGGTCTAAACCTTCCTGGGAACTCTATTGGGAAGTATTTACATAACGAAAGGATTCACACTGAGCCTTTATGGATTTCAAAGTGGATTTGATTTGTCAGAACTGGACTCATCTGCAGAGTTGGAGCCAGTTTGTTAGAATAAGCGCTGCTTTCGCACATTGGTGTTGCTTTTGGGTAGCTGCCTTTCCACTGGAGAGCTCACCTTGCCAAGTCTTTGTGGCTGATAATTAAGAAGCCCAGAGAATGAACAAAAAACACTGCTTGTCGGACACAAATCTTGAGATAGGGAAAGGAATGCTCACTAGGAAAGAACCCAGTCTTCTCTGGCCTCTGAAGGGCGTGCACGCAGGCTCCAGGGCGTCAGCCTCTTGGTGTAAAAGCCAGGGAAATCAGCTAGCTAGTCAAACACAGTGTGAGAGAGACACCGCTTTAATGTTGGGCGATGAGACCAAGGGATGAAGCTAAGCGGGGAAGCAAAGCAAGGGTTCCCTCACTAGCATGGGAAAGCAAAATCTAAAGCAGATTGTCGAGCCTGGCACAGTTGCCCATGCCTGTAACCCCAGCAACCCCTGGGAAGCAGAGGGAGGAGTAGCAACAGGTCAAGCTTACTCTAGGCCACATATCAGAGATCAAAGCTAGAGTGGGCCGCCGCGGGAGACTGTCACCTGAGCAAGAAAAACAGAGATGGACTGTCTTTTAGATTTAACCCAGGATGATAAGAACATCATAAATCTTCATTAACGACATAAAGATGGCTAAAGGCCAAAGAACAACTCAAAGGAATGGTGGGTAGCAAAGGAGTCTTTATCCAGGGAGCAGGAGAGCTAGAATATGGCAGGGTTTACCCTTGGCGGTCCACAGCTCAGGTACCCTGACTTCTCAGCAGCCTTCCTCATTTCATTGTGACACATCCCCTGATTATCAGGAATTGTTACTGGGTTGGCTGACTGCTCAAATCAAGACCAGCAAAACCTTATAGTTTCTTCCCTCCTTCTGAGTGTCTAATCACTAAAACCATTCATGATTCACCTTGGAAACAGATAAGTTCCGGAAGAGACTGAGCTGAAGAGGGCGTGTGTCAGGAAGTTAGTTGTTAAACTGTCAGGCAGATCTGCATCTCCTCCTCTCAGGAGCTGGCTTGAGCCAGTCTGTGCCTAAAGACCTTCTCCACCTAAGTAAGGCAGGCAGCAATGGCATCTGGGAGGCGCCGGGCTGCTGCTCACTTTTCCTGTTGCTATCTCAAGAGTATTCCACACCTGGATTTTCACCATGCCTTTTACAACTCAGAACTTTAGAGACAGAAGACTACGGACGTGAACACTGAAGAAGTGGAGATGATGAAGAGATGTACAACCAGAGAGGAAGAGAAGGGAAATGTTGAACCAAGAGTAGAAAAAAGCGCTAACAATGATGTGCAGGGCAAAGAACTGTGGACTAGATGTACTGACGGGGCCAGTTACACTGACATGCACAGAACAGTAGAGTGAGTGATGACCTGCTAGAGAAACAGACATGAGGCACACTGAGGGGCAGAGGGAGAACTCGAGTGTGGTGATATATTGTGTCCCCCAATATGCTGTGCATCCTAAAAAAACTTATCTGGTGTCAGAGGACAGAACAGCCACTAGATAGACATAGAGGCCAGAAAATGGTGGCACACACACCTTTAATCCTATCACTTGGGAGGCAGAGATCCATCCTGATCTCTGTGAGTTCAAAGCCACACTGGAAACAGCCAGGCATGGTGACTCACGCCTTTAATCCCAGCAAGTGATGGCAGGAGGCAGAATGGTATATAAGGCGTGAGGACCAAGAACTAGAGTCGGTTAAGCTTTTAGGCTTTTGGCAGCAGTTCAGCTGAGATCCATTCTGGATGAGGACTCAGAGGCTTCCAGTCTGAGGAAACAGGATCAGCTGAGGAATTGGCGAGGTGAGGTAGCTGTGGCCTGTTCTGTCTCTCTGATCTTCCAGTATTCACCTCAATACCTGGCCCCAGGTTTGTTTTTATGAATAAGACTTAATATTTCGTGTTACACCCGAGAGCTTTGTTACATATTTGTTCACTATGACAAGCCTCCAGTATCTCTGTCTGCTTGGGGTTTAAATCGAAACATCGAGGATGAATTAAAAAGTGAGAATTTACTTTTCTCATGATTCTTTTTTTTAAGCTGATAGAATTTTGTTTTTTAATTTATTTTACATACCAACCACAGTTTCCCCTTCCTCCTCTCCTCCCATTCCCTTTTCCTACCTCCTTTCCATACCCTCTCCCAACCCACTCCTCAGAACGGTAAGGCCTCCCACGGGAATCAACAAAGCGTGGTGTATCAAGTTGAGGCAGGACCAAACTTTCCCCCCCTGCATCAAGGGTGAACAAGGCATCCCACCATAGGGAATAGGTTCCAAAGAGCCAGCTCATGCACCAGGGACAGGTCCTAGTCCCACTGCTAGGGGCCCCACAAACAGACCAAACTACACATGATTTTTTTTTTTTAAAAAAAACTTTTCTTTTTTTGAGACAGGGTTTTGCTGTGTATCCCAGGATGGCTCCAAACTCGAGATCTTACTTCCTTATAGATGTATGAACACTGATAATTCTTAATAGCCTATATTCACTTTCTTAAAGCATGTTAAAATTCTTTGAAGATAAGTATTTTTCTAGAAGCTTTTGTTTTTAAAGTAGGCATTGATCATAGGTAAATAAAATAATAACTAAAAGCCACCTGGTGAGAGTTGGTGAACTATAACTGTGAGCTGACATGATATTCCTACATTAGAAAAAGTCACATGGCCGCATTTTGACAAGGCTGCAGAATACAGGAACCCAAGGTGCAGTCATAGTGCATCTCAATATCAACTAAGGCTTTCAACTTTCCCCTTTTCAGTTTTGTTTTTATTTCCTGGTATTTGAATTCAGATCCTTGAATACACTAAGAATGTATCCACCCCTAAGCTATACCCTCAACCCCTCAACTATTCATTTAAGATATTTTACTTTAAAAATACGTAACTTCAAGACTATATTGTTCTTCTCTTACAGTAGTTATGTGTCAACCTTTTCTTATTATTATAACATTTGTCTGCTTGCCTTATGACCTCATAGGGAAATCGAGGCTGTTTTGTTTGGAAAAAAACAGTATCCAAGGGCAGTCATGACAGTTGACTCCAGCTATCTAAGGGACTATTCAAGGGGAGAGGAAGTTGAGTCAAACTGTGTTGTTCTAGAGATACCATGAAGAACAATGGGGAGAAAACATGAGGAGGCAGGTTTTGGCAGGACATGAGAAAACACTCCCCAACAATCAGAGCTGCATCCATAATAAGATAGGATGGGTCCTGGCGAGGACCTGCCGCTCTGGGAATGATCAAGTAGAGACAGGAGGAACATAACCAGGCAGGCCCTTCTAACTCTGGAAGCTGGGTCAAGAGGTAATTCTGAGTTTGGCTCACCCCCCAGTTCTTTCCATCTCTGGCCCCTCCCACTCACAGAAAGGGCACAGTGCAGGTACTAAGAACCCAGCCTCGGAAGCCTGGAGGGCTGTTAGAGTCACCAGGGACATTCTAAAGATGATTCTGGTTATTTGTGAGAAATTGGATAAGAAGGCCCGTGCTTCTTTTAGAGTTCAAGGATGATGTGACTCAAAACATTAATTTTTGTTATTTAGCTGCAGAAAAAAGGTTAGGTGAAGTTAAATTTACAATACAAATTGAACAAACAAACAAACAAAAATTCCCTAGACTAGTTGCCTAAGGTTTCTATGGGAAAGTTTTGGTTATTTAAATACTCTTTCGAATAGTTTAACATCCTTGCCTTTTCTCTCCATCTCCAGACAGGATTGCCGTGTGTTAATTCATAGCTTTAATGGAGCCCTTTGGACAGTTCAAAAAATTCAGTTTGCCAATGTGTTTTTATTAGTCAGGGACATCAAATGATTTCAACAATGATAAAATTTTCCTTTGCTTTTCTTGGCATTCACTAGCCAGGCAACCCAAGTTTTGTACTTGAATCTAATGGAGTCTGTTATGGTCTCCCTAGTAACCAGGGACTCTCTTTAGTCATTACTGAAAGGATAGGAAGACTTCTATTGCTTGGAGCGAAATTCCTATTACTTTGCTGTTTTCCTATTTCGCCCAAAGGGTGGAAAGAGGGAGGAAATCATGTATTTGTGCAATGTTTTGAAAAGGAAATATTTATCTGTATCATATTGCTGAATGGCTTGCATTATAACAAGTCAAGAAATAGCCGGGGAACTATTTATAGAGGAGTTTCAACACAGAGCTGTTAGTGATATTTTAAATTTCTCGGTATTTCCACATACTTTGAATCATGGCCTTGTATTGTGCAGCTGGGCCTTGTCACTTAATGGTCATGAGAAACTAGGCCAGCCACATGTCATTGACAAGCTCCGTCCCTACTGTGGTGATCAAATGATATAATGTTTAGACGTGCATCCTACTCTGCGTGTGTAGTAATGTCTATTTTTTTTATCACTATTCCTTGAAGCACATAGGACACATTTTAGCCCTTCACTAACATATG